GGGGGGGGCGGCCCGCGCCCCCCCCCCGCCGCGAGCGCCGGCGGCACGGAGCGCACAGCGCCCCCTGCGGCCTGGAGGAGCGGGGCGAATGAAGGCCCCGGCGGGCAACCGTAGGGGCTCGCAGCCCCCGGGCCCGTCCCCGCCGGGCCAGCTGCCCGGCCCGCGGGGCCTACCGGCTGTGTTCGACAGCAGAGAGCAAACCCGGGAGCGCCCCAGCTGCAGCAGGCAGCTCCAGATCAAAACCGACTCCCTGTGAGGCAGAGGATGCTCCGGCCGTCGGGGAGAGAAAGCGTCGCGCAGCTGGTCCTGGGCTTTCCCCCCTGTGGAAGTACTTGCTTGTAAATGACCCAAGGACTTCTGGAAAAGGGATTGATAATAGATGTTTCCTCTCCTGATGAAACGCCGAATCAGCCCCCTCTTTTACTGAGGCAGCACGCTGCTCTACCTACAAGGAAGAAGGGGCCTGGCCGTATGTTCCTGTTACATTAAGCGAGTTGCATCCCCGAAGGCTGTCGCACCTCATTGTATGCTTGGATGGTGGGACCACTCCATATGCAGACAATCGTATTACTATAATTTTACTATTATTATGGCTTATTACAGCATGTGGTCAAAAATTACCCGGTGTCATTGAAAGGCCATAATACATTAAAAAAAAAGATGCAGAGTTTGGCAGCATACTGCCTTTAAACTGGAACTGTACTCTGAAATCCTGAATGCGTTCTTGCACATAGCTCCCCGTGCTCTCAGTTTAAATCCTCTCCTTGCAGCCCTGTAATCTGTGATGGAATGGAGAAACTGTATTGTGTCGCAGTGTCATCCCAATCATACCATTTCTGCGTCTTGTTTCCAAAGCTTTTTCCTGGGCACATGCCATTTTATAAAGTCAGCAACATTGGCGGCTACTTCTGCAAACTGATTTCATTCCACTAGTGATTGCTTTATGGGTGTACAATCTCAGATTCAGAAGAGGAGGGACACCACAAACAATACGAATGCCACCCTCTCGGTTTTAAAATGACACTGGAGACACAAAAAGACAAAATTCTGGGAGTTTCAGGACTCCGTACACCAGAAATATGGCACAAAACTTGTTTTTGTTTTAAAACTTAGGATTTGAGAGTAGAGGGAGTTAGGACCAAGTTTTCTTTATTTACTTATTTGTATAGATCATTCCCTCTCCTGCTAGATCAGAGCTGCATAAAGCAATGCATGAGCTACAACATTAAAAATTGTCCTTTATGTAGCCAGGTAAGCTTGTCATTTCTAGCTTTTGCTGGCAGTCCATTAAATGTAGTCCAAAGTAAAGTTTGCCGCCTTTCTGTGTTCTGCTCAAGAAAGCGGTGAGTAGGGCTGACAATGCAAGTCCTGAAGCTGAACTAGAAGAAGAGTCCCTATCACTGGGGCCTCCATGTGCAGCTAATAGGCTTTTTCTGGTCACTTTTTCCAAACAGAATTTCTCCTACCTCAGTTGTCCAATATCCCACAAGAACTATTTTTCAGATGTAGCAATTTTCTTGACTTATTCCCAAAAGCACTGCACCCGAGCGGGGAAGCCAGTTCACACCTTTCATAACTCGCCTGATTAATCAAGTACGTCATTGAATGACCACCTTGTCCTATGATTGTACTCTCGGGTGACAGGCACCTTGGGCTCTTCCCCTCTTCAGAGCAATAGCTTTCCTTCCTACTCAGCATGTGCACTCCGAGTGATTCACAACAAAAGACTCTGCAATCTGTGTCACTTTTGCAATGGGAGCGTCTCAGCCAGACTGTGCTGAGAACACTTTAGCAGGGTTCATACTTGTATTTTTGGTCAATACTAATACTAGAAACAGGCCGATGAAGCCAGGCAGGATGCAGCCCAGTTCAGGTTCCAGCTGACCGAAGGGGGAAAAAAAAAAAAAAAAAAAGCCTTTAACCTGTTTAAATTTCTGTTCCATTTATAAGTCTGGCAGTAGTAGTTGCAGACACTGTTAGCCAGCTACCATAATCCTGCTAGGTCTGCCCCTGGCATGCACTGGGGTGCATTCCAGGTTTAATGCACAAAGACCGTTCTGTCACCAAAGTCTTCCAAGGTACGTTTACAGAAGAGACTGAAGGCTCCATTGTGGCACAGGTACTAGATTTTACCTAAGCTGCTCTGGTGTTGACAGCAATTTATGACAGACTGCAGCTGAAAACTGGACCAGCAGCCCCCAGGGACCCCGGAATTAATATTCACTCTGAGCGCTAGCCTGCACTGATGTCTTCTTGCTGCCTCCAGCACCTGTACCATTGCATGTGCTACCTAACGTAAAGCTATGTCTGCCCACACTGTAATCACTTTTTAATGCATCTGTGTGGACCTGGCTTTGGCCTCTAAATCTGGCAAGGCCCTCATGTGAAGAGGAGACAGCAGACTGACACGCATCTGCTCTTCCAGCCCCCTTGAATCCCTGTAAGAAGAGATGCATGTGTGAGCATGGGTGTCCAGTAGAAGTTTTATGCCCAACAAGCTCTGAGGAAACAAAAAGAATAGCATGTGCAGCGTTACCTTTAAAGCTGTCACCCCAAGAACTGGGGAGAAAGAGATAGGACAGATGTGAAGAAATTTGCTTGGTGGCAGTAGACGAAAACATGCATCACAGGGAAAGAAGGATGGAGAGCACAGCTGACTGAAGTCAAACTGGTTAAACTAGGAAATAATGGAAAATAAGCAAAGAGGAAGCAGAGAGGGAAAATTAAAGAGAAACGTTGCTGACAGTAAGGAAGAAAGGAATAATAGGAGGAAAAGACTGAAGTGTATTAGGTTACAAAAATTACCATCTTAAATGTTAAGGGAAAGGAAAAAGGAGGGAGAACATCCACACGCTGACATTTTATTACACTTGATTACCACATACATTACAATCCTCATGAGCTCAGTGTTTGAGTGGGGATGTGGCCGCACTGCTGATTGGGTTTTGGAAAGGTAGCTGTGTGAGGTTTAAGAATCTCATGTGAATCCATTGTAAGTGCTTGCAGGAAAGACGTAACCTTACTTTAACTCCAGAAATAAAAATTACTGATTTAAAACATTAGTGTTACTCACTGTGGGACAAAGGTATCCTTAGTATTATTTCATTAATAATGTCACCCATACTAGGGTAGCTGCGGTAGAAGTCAACGTGATACCGCTGTATCCTGTTCTGTACAGGAGTTAGAATTTGTCACTGGGCCAAGTGAAGCCCGCTTTCTCTGCATCACTCAGTGCAACAAAGGGGAAAACTGGTTATTTGTCTTTCTCTGAGGCTCTTCTGAATGATAAGCATCCACTAGTTCAGGCAACTTCTGCATCATGCTGCCATGAATTCCATCAAAGCAGTGATCAGAGACGACCCCTGTCCAGAATACGTTGTACTTCGCTTACGTTCAGTTACCAAATACTTTGGATCCTGTCCCCGGCTGTGAAGTCCATGGTGGCATCTAGGGATTGTTCAAAACCCCGCCAGAGCTGGTTTGGAGCCTGCAGAAAGGGAGCCAGTGGAGGACAGATAGTGCACCTGAGCGCACTTTTCTTCCTGAGGAGCTTTTAGTTTATACAGGCAGGCAAGTGAGGGCACTGTGGTAGGCCCAGAAGAAGGTACTGTAGGGTTTCTTTTTCTTTTTCTACTTGCTGTTTTAAAGTAATGGCAGAAAATGATAGCATTCATTGACTTCACAGAGCTAGAGAGCTGTGGGAAGGGATGTGGAAGAGGAGGGAAGGGGGAGTCCAGGGGTGATCCATCGCGATGTGAAAGAAGGTGCAGATGTTGGAGTGAGAGCAAGCAGTTGCAGAGGGAAGAGCACCAGATCTCATGAGGAAATAAAAAGAAATGAAGAGTGGGCAGAGACAAGAGGATGAATGGAGGGGAAGCCTCATGATTGTTTTTCTAAGTGTTGGCTTGAATATTTGAGGGCGTGTGGAGTGACCCACAACCTCAATGCCCCAACATGGCAATTGGCAGGTGGAGCAAAACCGGGAGGATTCAGAGGGTGGTTCTGGACGGTGAGCCTTGAGGCCAGGGCCTGGAGATAAGCAGCGCTTTGATATCCCTTGCCTCTCAGATGGTTTTTGTGCATCTGACAAATCTTGCATTTCAGACCTTTCCCCACAGACTGTTGTATTTCTTTCCAATAGGACCTTCCAACAGGACTGCAGATGCAGTTGTGAGAAGTTGAGACATCAGTGCCACAACTCAGAATTACAAAAGGGGGTGAAAAAATTTCTGGCGGTACTGGCTCCCAGCTGGAGCTCTTTTGTGTTCAACATTCGTGGCCTGTGCCCAGCCCACAGAGTACTTGCAGCCTCCTTTTCCTCTTCGCCAGTGCTTGCCTGCTTACTTTTGAAGGGGCGGGTAAGATTTGCCAGATTTGCTAACTTCTTGGCAAAGATGCATCCTTTGAAAGGCAGAGACCCAGCTCCCACTGGTGCTGTCACGATGTGATTTCTACAGGA